ATCTCTCACCAAATCATTAAGTTCACCTTGTGTGAAAGGTTGTGGTTCACCAGACATTTCAGGTTGAAAACAATCCTTATCATCATTTCTATTGACATAAGATGAAACAGTATCAAGAGTCTCTGGTGGAGTTAGGTACAGGTACATCAGGTCCATGAGCAACAGGTCTTATAGCAGATTGAAGGTTCGGATAAGAAATTTCCTTTTTTTATATCAAGTGTTGTAACTTTGCACATTACATGAGCAAAAATAACAGTCATCTCCATGGTTTCTAGGCCATTGGAATTCCAAAAAGCAAAGACTTTTTCTTACCTTTAGTCCATTGTTTCACCTCTTCGACACAAATAGTGAAAACTTTGGGTGGAGCCCATGATTTGTCTTGGTCCACAAGTTTTATTCCAAAATACATGTAACAGGCTTTTTTGATGAATTCTGTAATGTTTTGCCTTTGTTTCTTTACAACAAATTTACCACAACTATAACAGAATATTTTTGGGTCATTTACACAATCTCTTGTTGCCACAGCAATGAATAAATAATATTGAAAAGAAAAACATAATGTTAAAGTGCACGCACAAACAAATACTATCCAGAAATGTCACATGGGTTCTAAAATGATCAATAAGACTGTCACGTCACGATAGGTCTAGAGAAATCTATAACCAGTTGTTGTCAACATTTTAAGCATAACAAAATGTGACCCGATTTCAATGAAAATGGTTCACTTATGTAAAAATACACATGATGTTTTGTGAAAAATCTGTAAGTGATGGAGAAAAATGAATATTTTCAGTTTCAGCATACAGGAATTACTGTAGAACATGTAAATATTTCAAGACAATAAAACCATCACAGGCCTGTGTTATTAATAAAAACTTCTGATTACATAGATCAGAACCAAAAATTAACTTCTAAATTAATGAACATATTCTATATAACAAGTCAACTAGCAGTATATAATGTCATAAATCATTCCATCAAAAAACTGATGTCTTTATGCTGTGTAATATTTTCATTCTAAATTCAAAATTATTTCACAAAATTTTGATTGTTTGGAGATTTAAGTTAGTCCTAAGTCAGTATAAATCTTACATAAACATGACACCATTATAAAGTATATCCATTTGTATGCTTGATATTGTGTTATTAATATGCATTGTTGTTCAGTCTGAACAAAAGCAAGAATAAGGGTCAACAGTAACTGTCAGGGCTATTTACATCTATATATGAACGAATTGTAATGAAGGACACGTGTATCAGTTCTAAAGCACAATGTAATGTTGGTTCTAGTACTGGGAAGGTTGTCATACCTCAACAACCAATCTGGTCCAAAACACAAAGAAGTTTGGAAAGATAAGTCTTGTTACCTAGTCTTCTTGTTAGTAAATATTGATAACTATTTTTTGTAGTATCTGGTAGGGTATGGTTCTTCTCTAGTGAGCCTAGCAGAAAGATAGGCCATTCCTTCATTCATGAGAAAGAGAGGAGAATCATTGGATTCCAGTAAGACATTCATATGTCTAGATCCCACAGAAAATACTTTCTGACTGGAGTTGCTTGCACGTGAAACTAAACTAGAATCTGTACATTTTCTCTATCTAAACTGGTTTTAGATAGAGAAAATTTTCTCAGAAAGTTGTAGAACAGTACAATGTAGGCTAAGCACAATTTTAATTCTTCATCTGTTAAAACATGAAAATATTAACTTTAAAGTAACTTTTGATAAGTTCACAGAATTGGATCTCATGTTTCTCTATGATAGCCCACAATTACTAAAGGGTGATAAATCCTATATATTACTATTGTCAACTTACCCAATCAGTGCACCACACATTATCATATCTTGCAAAGAAATGGATATAGGATGCAGGATGGAAGGCATTTGGCTACCCTGCAAAGGGAAGAGATTTGAGAAAATAAAAAGTACAATAGCAGTTGGAAACTTATCCTAAAAAAGGACAAAAGACAGAAGCAGCCCATAAAGTGATGGATAGGCCCAAACTTCTAATCAGCTCTTGTTGAATTAAAATCTGCTTCTGTGGTGCCACAAGAACTTGGCTAGCTGCAGCAACCCTGACCAATGATATGTGCTATTGTAAATATGGAAAGCAACCCAAGTGATTCATGTTTTACTTAATTTTCTCCTTTTGTTTTTGTTTTTATATGAAGATGTAATGTAGAAATTTGTTTATTTTTTAGTTGCTTTAAACACAGACCTGAAATGGCATAGTGAAACCAGTAATTGAAGATTTTGGCTTTGTTCATACTAGCTGATTCTAAATTCTGGGCAATCTACAAGCTCAGAGAAGTGAGCATGTTATCCTTTGATATTTCTGTTCTGAACGAAGATAGTTTTTATTATTGCAATAATTTTTTATATCTGCATCTTGTCTCAAGTTAGTACAAGAATTTATTTTAATCTAAATCAGTTGTCTAAATGTATGTGCTTATTTTGAATTTAATTATGACTCGTCATTTAACCTGTACCTCAGTGTGATTGCTTTTCCATCTTTCTAGTTTCTTTGGACCAACAAGAAGCTTGACCATTAAAAAGGGTTATATTGTGAAAAAAAGGTTTTCTGAATGTTTGAAAGAAGTGTGGCAGTTAGAAATTGCCAGAGCTTTACCCTTTTATAACTAGACTATGAACGAATATTTTATTTAGGTATATTCAAATAATTTTTTAAAACTTTTATCCAAATGTTGAATATTTAGTGAGCATCCTTATGGGGTTACATATTGTAGTTGATATTGTGCAAGTTTATACTTGTCTGCTTATATTGCTATTACTTTAATTGGCATGCAAGCCAAGTTCAATTTTAGCAATGGTACAGTAATCCGCAGTTGTTGTTATGAGCAAGGGAATTTTCTCAAATCAGATATGGTATGAGCATAACCAGTGGGATAACTACAAGAGACCTCCCCCCCCCTACCCCACATAAACATAAAAAGAAATTGGGCCCCTACATTTATTTCTATATAATTGTAGTTATGATTCTGGCTGATGTAAAAAATCAAGATTGTGGGAAATGAACAGAGGTAAGGTTTTACCTGACTAAAATTCTGTATTACACAATTCTTCTGTTTCCTATCTAGTGAAGATATGATCCTGGTAAGTCAAATGTAATTTATTAACCAGCCAGGTTTAAACATTCAAGTGCTGAACAGTAAGTTGTTAAACTACCAACATCAAATGACCAATTGCATTTTGATGATAAATACTTTTTTGTTGTTTAATGTTAGGCAACTGTGTGCAGTCTGTTTATTTCACTGGTCCTTGTTTGATTTGTTATGTATAAAATATTTCCTGTTAATCTTCTCATTATATGTTGAATTTATAAGTTACATGTTGTAAATTAGTATACTTGAATAGCACTAGGGCAAGTTACTTTTTTTGTAACTTTCTCATTCTAATGTATTTGTCTATAATTTTTAGCCATGTTTTACTTACGTTTTCACCTTCTGGGGTTGTTTTTGTTTTTATATGAAGATGTAATATGGAAATTTGTATATTTTTCAGTCGCTTTAAAACTTTTTTGGAAAGTTAGAGTTGGGGGTTATTTATTTAAGTTACTTGTGATTTTACTGTGAGGTTTTGATGTGTCCCTGTATTTTTGGTGTGATTAATTTTTTCTTGTGTGTGTGTCAGTTTGTAATTTGTTTCTGTTTTATTACATATTATATTAATTAGGTTATGTTCAATTACACAAGTTTTTAACACTATGCTCTTGTCATGTTTATTGTTATATTGTAACAGAAAGGTTACACAACTGATGACTCAGTACATCATAATCTTTTAGATTTTAATTTTCTTGTGTATGGTTTTATGATATTGTGTATTGGGTCATCAAGAAATTAATGGTGCATATTGGAACACTTTCATTAACCACCCCCCCAAAAAACTTGCATCACGTATAATAGTTAAACAAACTGCCTAAACGTCACATTAATGTAGCCTGTATACTTGGCTGTGGTTTAGTATACTCTAATCCCTTATAGTGACGAGACACATATTCGCATTTAATGCTGTTTGAACACAAGAAGGGAAACAACGCCTCTGTAGCCACAAAGAGTATTCTCCAGATATGGCACCATCAGATTACCATATTTTTCATTTGCTGCAACACTATCTTAATGGGAAAACGTATGCAAATGTGGAAGGTGTTAAAGAGGACATCGACATGTTTTTTGCTTCAAATCCAATCAGGGCATTAACAACCTGATTGTAAGATGGAAAAGCATCATCGATAAGAATGGAGATTATTTCATTTAATAAATGTTTTGTTTTGATATACAAGTTGTTCGGGTTATTTCATCTAAAAAAAAGCTGCATTAATTTCTTGATGACCTAATACTTCAAGCCAGTTTATTACATAATACTAGTTTCATTAACTTAAAGTATTTTTTATATTTATTTGATATAGGTAGCTGACTTTCACTAAGAAGGTATTAATAATTTTATTACCTATTGTTACATACTGCATAAAATTTTATTTTTGTTGGAAACAAATTTTACTTTCTTAACTTCCAGCTTTTTTTAAAATTGCTTTTGTGCCCATGGGTGGGAAACTCAACATTTCGTGACATATAATTGTTGAAATACTTGATACATTTTCAAGAAACATTTTAAATAATGAGGCAATTTGTACTTGATATGCAATTTCACTGTAAATCAAATTAAGAATTATTATATAAATACTGAAGATATCATTATGTCCTATTCATTAATAAAATGTTTTTCCAGAGTTATCAGGAAAAGTTTCCAGATGTTGTCATTGGTTATTCAGGACATGAAACTGGGACTGACATCAGTATTGCAGCTGTTGCCTTAGGAGCTAAGGTAGTTTTCTTGAAGTTAGTAAGAAATATTTAAAAGAAAAAACAAATTATGGGTAATAATATGTATGGTCATTAATTCTGATTATGAATTAGTCACTGTTTTTTTTAATTACTGCTATTATTTGTACTGACTATTAATTAGTTTATATCCTATATTTGGGCTTTTATTCAGTTGCCATCTTCAAGGGAGTCTTGATGAGTGTGTTATAACATGAGCCAGGATTCAATCCTGGTTGTTAGAAAGGCACTCATTCCTCTGGTAAAGTTACATTATTTGTTGTAAAACTGTATGATTTATCATTTTCTTTGTGTTTATTGCTTTCATTATCCACAAAATTATTTTTTTTATGATGAAATATCATTATTTATAAGCATATTGGACAATAGATTTTATGTAGAAAATCTCTTGGCCAAAAAAAAACTTCATTCTCAACTTTTTGTGTGGCTCTTACAATTTGCTCTGTATATTACGAAGCTTATAAAGATAATCTATTATGTGTGTGTTAGCATCTATCCCCTAGAATTGGCTGGCTTTATTACTATAATTTTTTGTGGGTAATTGGAAACTATCTGATGGTGTATGTGGGCTATTTCGTTTTAGGTGTGTGCTTGCCATTTTACACTTAGCTGTTGGGACTTTCACGATGGGGGATGGTGGGCATCCCTCAACACCAACCACTACTGGTTTTCCCGAGGCTGACTTATTGGTAGTATTCTTCTTACACTGGCTCTTCATATGTCCTTGCTTTCCACAGTTCCAACAACCTTTCTGGGTAGCAGCCTATCCTGCTGTGGCATCATCCCTATGTTGAAGTTGCCGGCATTGAGCTCTCTTGTGCCCAGGTTTGTTACAGTGCCAGCAAAGTTCCTCAAACTTCTCTAAAAGGTGCCCTTTTCTGTCCTTGAATCCTGATGATTGTACCAACTTTGGTACTTCTGTGCTGGTGTTAACGTAGGATTCAAATTCAAGAGATCGGGTGGTGCAGTTGGGTAGGCCTTGTGTGCCATACTTTCCAAATCCTGTGCCAACTCTTGCAGGCTCTCCCCTTTAGCACAGACTCTAGTTTTAAACCTAGCCCTGTAGACTTTAGACTGATTTTGAGTTCCATACCTGAGTTCTAGAGCAACTACCAGTGTCCTATAGTTGTGCCTGTTGTCTGCTGACAACTGTCCAAGTATTTCCAGTGGTCGTCCCTTCAGGCTCGTTGCCAGGTACACTACTTTCTGCTCCTCTGTCCATCCATTCATTTCTGCCAATAGCTCAAATTGTGCTCTATATGCTTCCCATGGTGCCTTCCCATCGAATTCCTGTGGCTTCATTCGTACTAGATCACCCCTATTGCTGACACTCATGTCTGGAATGTGACTTCTGACAGGACTGAAGATGTCTGCATTAGGGTTTAGCTGCGGGGTCTGGAAGGGGCTTTCCGTTGTCTGAGGCTGATTAGGTCCATGGCTAATATATCCTCCTTGTGTAAAAGACATCCTTTAAGGTATTTAGTTCACTTTGAAATTTACTAAGCTTTTCCATTCATACTTCTTGTTTCCTTTCTTATTCCAGTTGCCACTGCTGTAGTCTCTCTTCTTGTTCATTTTCTTGCTCTTCCAACCACTGCTGTAGTCTCTCTTCTTGTTTCTTTTCTTTTTCCTCCAACAACTCTGTAATCTCTCTTCATGTTTATTTTGCTGTTCGAGCTGCCACTGTTGCAGGTTTTCTTGCAACTGCTTTTGTCTCTCTTCTTGTTTCTTTTGCTGTTCTTGTATTGCTGCCATCAAATCTGCTAAGCTGTAGTTTGATTTGCCACCTCTCTCTTTTCCATCTTCTTCTTTCCCATCCCACTCTCTAACACCAATTTGTTACTTCTCTGGTCGTTTGTTAATTTCCGGTATAAATTCTTCCTGAGAAACTTCAGCAATACAAGTCCTTTTTTAAATAAAAGTAGTTTATTCTTTCTCAATACAATTTTGCAATACACAGAATTTCCGCAGTCACTTTAACTTAAACACATGCTATAATTCACAATGATTC